TGTTATTTATGTCTCTGGCCATCTCAACGCAAAAAGCTCATGATCGTAGAAGCAATATTAATGTAACTACCTGATTTTATTTTATCCTTCCTTTCTTTTATGCTTTTTTGAGGGGAAAGGGGGGGGGGGTTACAACTCCACCTAAAATCACATCTTGGTGAAGTGAGCATTCTTTTTCCGCCAAAAATTACAATTACATTATTTTCATTTCTTAACTTTGAAATAAATCGAAATAATTAAATAACGTCAATAAAACCAATATTTTCAATTTGAAATGTGCCTAAATGATTGCAACTTGAATTTGTTCGCCATGTTTACTATTACCTTCACTGCTGAGATTTATAATTTCACCTCCAAAATTTATTAAACTTTAAAAAAAGTGGGTGAAATATGTAAATTATTGTTATTGATCTTCAGTACGTTATATGGAAGGGACAGCCTGTTCTAGGCTAGATATTTTCTAAATATGTAAAGGTTGTCATGGTAACTACGCTTGATAGGTAGTCTGAAGGCAGCCCTTGCGGCCCGTACAGTTCAGTCTATCAATGCTGCTAAAATATCGATCGTTTGTAAAATATAATCCATGCATAGTAAATCTCAAAACTATGAGGTGGGACAAAATTAAGATCGTAAAAATATTTATTCAATGATGAAATGAATTATATTTAATCGTAGCAAACAAACTTATGTTTTATTAAATCGCCACAAGAAAAAATACACCAGCGTGAAAACAAGCTGTCTTCTTCAGCAGCCATGACAGTTCTCATGTGATGTAATGACTTTTGATTGAAAACGTTTAATACTGCAGTAGATTAATTTTTGTTATCACTAAATAGATATACAAATGTTTATGAGGTATGTATTTTATTTTTGCTGCATTATTTACGTATAAAGTAAGAAAAATTCCCATATTCAGTTCAAGATCCGCTCCCAAATTCTCATTGGCTGTCCCAAAATAAAATCGGTCAAGGTCAGTAAACTTTAAAGTTTGCGCTAAACTCAGACTATATTAAATATTTTGGAAAAATTTATGCTCTGAATAATTAAATAAGAAACATTTACTTTAAAATGTTTCTGATTACATTGTATGATTTCAATTAAAAAATGGAAGTGATATTGTATGATCCAAAAAGAGTTGTAACCCCCCCCCCCCCCCGGGAAAAGACTTCATTATTGCAGCAAGAAGTACCTTCAAGTTCCTACTTTCCTACTTAAGATACCCTTGCTTGGCTTATCTAAGATAATGATAATTTTTGTATCCCATATATTTTAAACTTAACATAAACAAGAGGTCCATGAGCCACACCGCTCACTTGAGCAACATAATGTTTTAATGGTCAATTACTCTAACCCAAACAGCTTTAACAAATCAGATATATCTGTTTAGTTTTTTATATTAAATTTTTGAAACATATTCTAACTTTTTTCTCCAAAGATTTTCATATGTAAAATTTACAGTAAATATTTTGCCCCCCCCCCATCCCATTGTGGTTGTACCCTATCATCACCCCTGTGATCGTCATCATCAAATTTGAATGTACATTATATGAATTTATATTTCAGAAAACCTCTCTGGTCAAATAGTTTTGGAAAAGAAAATTCATAAAAAAAAAATTCCTATAAATACTCCCATTGATACCCCTCCCCCATTGCGGCCCCACCGTACCCCCCAAGGGTCATGAAAGGTCATGATAAGATTTAAACAAAATTGAGAATGCTTCCACATAAGTTTCAACATTCCTGGCCAAAAGGTTCTTGAGAAGAAGATTTTTAAAGATTTTTCCTATATATTACTATGTAAAATTTCAACCCCATTGAGGCCCCACCCTACCCCTTGGGGTCATGATTTTAACAATTTAGAATCTACACTACCTGAGGATGCTTCCACAAAAGTTTCAACTTCCCTGGCCAAATGGTTCTTGAGAAGAATATTTTTAAAGATTTACCAAAACATTTCAATATTTCTTAATTATCTCCCATTGAAAAAGGGCGTGGTAGCTCATTTTAACAATTTTGAATCCCCTTTACCCAATGATGCTTTGCGCCAAGTTTGGTTGAAATTGGCCCAGTGGTTTTGGAGAAGAAGTCGAAAATGTGAAAAGTTTACAAACGGACAGACAGACGAACAGACTGACTACAGACAAAATGTGATCAGAAAAGCTCACTTGAGCTTTCAGCTAAGGTGAGCTAAAAAGTAAAACAATTAAATTACATTTGTTGAATCATAAAAGATGAAAAAAACTTTCAAATTGGTCACTACATTGTATTTATTTCGAATTTTCAATAACTATAACAGGTTTAAACACAACTGAAGCAAACATATTGTTTCCAAAAATTGAATCAAAATTATTCAAAAACCGAGGTTTTTGTTTTAATCGAATCGATCCAAACTATTCCTAATTTAAGGGTATTACATTAATTTTTATCAAAACAGACAGTCATGAGAGCATTTTCTTATATCATATATTAGATAAAGTACATTTGATATTCTTAATTTTTATTATGATCTCTTGAACAACCAGTATTTTTTTTTTGAGGGGGGGGGGGGGTTTGCTTCACATCTGCTAAATTGTGTAGAAATACCAGTATAGCACATTTGTCCATTTTCATTTCTGCTTTTACAGATTATATACATGTCTATTACCTGTGTATATATAAAGTATATGTATTAGCAGTGCTTAATAACTCTTTTATTGTTGAGGTCATATTTTGAACAAGTTGAGATCTGCAGTGTTAAAATTGTTACAAAATTTTTTACACCTTTAGCTTAATAACTGATTGTGTAAAAATACCACCTTAGCACATTTCTTCATTTTCATTACTTTGCTTGATATGTATCAGCAGTGCTCAACTCTTTGTTGTTGTCATATTTTCAATAAATATCCATAATTTCTTTTATTAAATTTGTTTGGAAATGTGAAATTTATGTAAGCTCTTGCGTGATTCGAACTCAAGACTTGATTTATAGCTAACTGGGGGTCAAACCCATTCTGCGCTACGCCGTTCCGCACCAATTTTAAGAACAAAAACAAAACAAAACAAAAAAAAAAAAACCAAAAAACAAAAACAAACAAACAAACAAAAAACAGAATTATATTCACATTCATTGTTTATTTCAAAAGTACCTTTCAATATGAATGTGTCGATGTATCTATTTTGTAAATGCCCGATATGCACATTGATGCATTCATAACAATGTCAGTTCCCGTGCACGCACGGGCAAAGTCTAGTATAATGTAATGATTGCACTATCACACAAACTATTTTTATAGCTGCATATATTGAACTTATCACATCATAGAAAGATTTCATTAATGAATATAATGGAATAACCACTGCATATAATGATTTTGCAGAATAATATAACGATATTATCACTTCATTACATTATTTAACCACTATACATATAATGACATTGCCATTGTATATAATGATAAAACCACTGCATATAATACATTTATCACTGGATATAATGATTTTACCACTATATATAATGACTTCACCACTTTATATAAAGGTTATACCACCTCATATAATATGAAAGTGACCTTCAGGCAGCTATGGCGTTCCATAAGTACAGAGCATTATTTTATGATCAAAATTCCTTTTCTCTGCGCAGAGCTCTGTACGAGTATATAAACTTCTGTCGTGATTTTATCTGTTCCTTCAGTCAATTTCTGTGCACGCTTTTCAACAAACAGTAAAAAACAAATAAAAAAAATAAATAAATAAAATAAAATAAATAAATAAAAAAAAAATTGGTAAATCGTGGATCGAGGGCCCCACCTCACACAAAATTTGAGTTCCACATCACCAAGCCAGTGGTTCCAGTGGTGAGCTTATTTAGTCAATAGGGAGACTTTCTTTACTTGAATCGCCCTTGCTGCAATAATGCAGCCCTCTCAGATTTTTATTTGGGGGGGGGGGGGAGAAGAGGGCTACAACTCCTTAGGATCTCCGTAATGGTGCAAGTGCGGGAGTGATTCACTAACGCACAGATTTCAGCTCAAATTATCAGTAAGTGGGTATTTTATTAAAATATCTTACCTGAACTCATAAAATGTAGTCATGCAAGACATGAATTGATCCAAAAATATACAGAACAATCCGTATATCGGTTATTTTTCGTCAACATCACAACTTGAATTTATCCGCCATGTTTACTGACCTTGATCGATTTTATTTTGGGACAACCAATGAGAATTCGGGATCTAGGGGAGCGGATCGTTTCCTTTAAGCATAAATATCACTATTTATGAAAAAAATATCACATGGAATGCTTTTATTTATCGATGTTTAGTGATACCATACAACACAATCATTTATCAACACCGACATTTACTTTATCAAGTGATTCTAAATTTCAAGCGCAAGTCTCTGTACATCACGCGAGAACTGTCATGGCTTCTTTATTTTACTTGGTTTTCGCGTATAAAGGGCTATGATGTTGATAGTGAATAAAAATTCCGTCTTATTGTAAGTAAGTTGAATGCAAAAACAATTTATTTTGCCTGCAGTCGCCCATATCTAAAAAATACATTTGCACCATTACGGAGATGCAGTGGAATTGTAGCCCTCTCCTGAAAATATCAGATATAAAAAAATCGGAGAGGGCTACATTATTGCAGCTAGAATCGCCCCCGAAGTTTCGTCAAATAAATCGGACGACTCGGACATATTGCGGGGAAAAGGTTTATGCGTTAAAATGCGTGACTGTGGTGAAGGGGGTTTACTTAACAATTTTTCAAGGGGATAATAGTCTTTATTCTAATATAACAGTTAACAGACTTAACAGAGGATCAAAGAACTTGAAATGCTGTTAATATATGTAGTTTTCTAATAATAACAAACATTGCATTAAAAATTATCAACGAAATTTATTAAGGAATCCTTACTAGAGAATTTGCAACTCTAGCAACTCTATGTGCAAAACTTAATATAATAGATTAATATAGTGAGTTGATTTTGAATATAAAAATAATTAGAGAAATAAACCCACCTCTACTCATCGATCAACATTCAACAAAATAAATATATAAATATAAAAACACCAATATGGAAGCACCAAGTGAAGATTAATACTGCTTTTCAATGCCATAAAAACTAAAAACGAAATACATTGTACATGTTTGAAACAGAAATGGCTGCATTTTCCGAAACTCGAATTTTACGACATATTCAACCAGATAATGAATTTCTGCACAAAGTAGTTTAATCTAACTTTCGTCAGAGAACTACATAGTTGGGCAGCGTTCGAATTGTCGATTCTGGTACCCAGGAACCGGAACAACAGACTTCCGCCCAATGTGACTCAAAATTCGTCCCATCTGTCCTCGATTCTTTCTTAATATTTTTTGTGCTTCAGGATATCGAACACGTGGCACTGCACTCGAGACAAGTCGAGAACTTGGAGGCTCATGCATTATTCTGCTCATCCTTCCACCGAGATCTAGCGTGTAATTCGGATCTCCCTCGGGCTTTACTCTAGGAACAGCTCTAGAAGATTTAGGCATACGATTATACTTATGTAGTAAGTTATTCATTCTTTTGCCTTTGTCTAATTCGGCATTGTCTTCTGCCTCTGGTTTGACCCTAGGAACTGCTCTTGTGGACGGTGGTGCTCCCGGAGTCTTGGGACTGTGAATTGTGGTCTTCATTCGTTTGCCTTTGTCAAGGTACGCGTTACTCTCTCCTTCCGGTTTTACTCTAGGAACTCCTCTATCTGACAATGGCAGTTTTCCATAACTATGAATCAGATTTTCCATTCGTCCTCCTTTATGAGGCACGACTATTTCTTCAGCCTCGGGTTTAACCCTTGGTACACGAGGTGTAGGAGCAGACTGGGCATATTTATGTATAATTCTCTTCATGCGTTTTCCTCTACTTACTGAAGCAATGGGTTCCGCCTCGGATTTGATCCGAGGAGGTGCTGTTTCCGGTCTCGGCGTAGCTTTTCCATTTAAAAGAGGTTTTATGGTTCCGTTTTTACCATGCTGGTAGTTCGATTTACAGGAATCTGTCGGGCACCGGGGGACAGGACGCGGTGTCCTTCGCTCAGTAAAACAACCGAAGGCCCACTTCCCGACTGACCCTCGATTTCGGTTGTAGTAAGATTCACCCTCCGGCCGGACACGTGGTACATATACGGGTTCCCGGTAAGAATCTTCTAAATCATACCCCGGATATGGCGGGACAGGGGAAGCAGATGATCGCGATGATGTCACTTCCACATACATCCTTTGTCATCTGTAAAAGAAATCAAAACTGAAAATAAATACATAGAAGATATACATGTACATGTATATAAGTTTGAAATACGTGTATCTCAAGGGCTCAAGAGGACTTTACTCACACTGAAACACGATGTCATTGTTAAAGATATTGTAACTAAGCTCATTGTTTCTTTAACTTACATTTCATGGCAAGAAAAAGATATTGCCTGATTAACTATTATACTACTTTTATTTATATAAATGAAACCATATTAAACCATATTAAAAGGCAATAGTGAAATGATATGTTTATAATGAAGTCATTGAGAGTTTAACAGTTTAAAGGATTATTGTTTGGAGACGTCGCGTAACCCTTTTGTATACTGCGGTCATGTTCTCGGGGGGTTCACCTTTCATTTAGAAATCTAAAGAGAAGAGATTTTTTATACATATTTAAAAACGTAGTGTTGTCAGCATTTTAACAATAATGTTTTTTATATTTTGACGATACTCAAGTAATATACATACAAATTGTGTAGTGCTGAATTTATTGAAGTCACAGGACAACTCTCTCTCTCTCTCTCTCTCTCTCTCTCTCTCACTCTCAAACATGATTCACACTGCATACCATTTCGCAAAAATAAGTCTTACAGTTTTATTCTTCAATGTAGCTTGCTATATACATGTACAAACTTTTCATATTTGTATATGTAATGATAGTGGGAAAAAAAGTACTGCAGAATTTAAAAATTGGTCACTTGATCCATAAACTTCTGGAAACTACTAGATAAACCAGGCTGTGCGATATCATTTATTAATGTGTTGTATAGACATATCCTTGATAATAATATCGTTAAGACTTGGCAGAAATTTTTTTTTTACAGCGAAGATCAATAAGGTAATGGAGGTGTGCATATATAGAGAGCAACAAAACAATCAGGATCGTGCGATGTGGTACAAGATTGGCAAAAATTCAATCGTTAATTCAACAAGGCCGATTAAAAGCCATTCATATCAACGCTTTTTTGTTTATTTCTCAGATGTATATCTAACCGGAACAAAAGGAATATTTTTCTTTTCATTATACGAATTATTCTGTAATTGTTGTTTTTATTTTCTTGTTTAAAACATAAAAATAAAATCCAGATATAATATGAGCGTAGAAATTTTATTTTCATCACATCAAATTCATAGGTTCTTGAAATGAAAATGAATTTAAAAAGAAACAAAAATACATGTAAATATTTGTCAATGAAAATAAATGTTTAATTGAATTATATAAGTAATTATTGTTTTATACTTACATGGGTTGGCCCTTCCTCAAAACATTACACCGGGTAACAGAACCATCACAGGTTATCGATTTTGTGCCGGTAAGATCAGGTATTTAAATCAGAGGAATAGGTCAAACGTATCTAAAGAGAACGAGGCGTGGATCAATCAACACTTTACACATGTACTCATTCAGGGGCGTATCACGTAGGTTTGTTCTGTTCGTAAGAACACCTTTGTTGTAAATTACATTTATTCTGTTTGTATACACACGTTTATAATTTATGGTAATACAAAAAGAAAAAAAATATAAAAATATATATTATAATTATGATAAATAGATACATAAATAAATAAATAAATAAATGAAATATTTTTTTTTAATTCAAAAAAAAAAAAAAAAAAAAAAAAAAAAAAAAAAAAAGAAGAAGAAGAAGAAGAAGACAGCTTCGAAAATCTGCAGTATATCCGTACTTTAAGTTTCACATGTAAAAATTAAATAATATAACTTTGATATAAAAACTTTTACAATCTATTTTATCAATTCAGTCTCTGATAAAGATATTCTCCTAGATACGTTGATAAATTTCAATTTCAAAAAAGTTTCCAGAGGGATCTCAAATTTTAACTGGGCAATATCGAGGGACAAACAATGTCATAAACATTGTTGTGTTCGGGGAAAAGAAAATATATATTTAACATGATACAATCAAAGATAAAAATAAAATGATAACCTCCTTAATTTAGTTAATTTTAAAAATAAATAATTATGTACCAAAAAAAAAGAAAAAAAAAAAGAAGATATTAAGGACATATTAGGAATTAACTAAATAAACATACTCAGTTATTTAGCATACATTGAAGAATTAAAAAAATGTTTGAAAGAAAAATTCTAAGAACATGGACGTTAGCTAATTAATTTTTTCCCATATTGATGTGGATAATTTTACATTCCATTTTAATGGGATTGTTCGATGTTAAAGGTAAACGAAAATTATGATTTAATTCTGAACTTAGGGAAAAGGAATAATAAAAGAAAACCGGCAAAAAAGATCCTGGAGATGTTGAAGATTCATGCCGTAAACAGGTAAATTAACAACAAAACACACAATTAAGTTAAACATGTTTAACCAGGGACATATATACTAAGTAAGTATATAGGTCCCTGGTTTAACTATCCTTTTTTTCAAACAAAAGTTTAGATGATTCTTCGGGTGCATTTAGACAGACATAGAAGAACACAATGCACAAATTAAACCATCCTGAAAACGGATCTTAAGCATACATTTTGATTTGTCCGTGTTAGAATAATTTGGTAAACACTAGTTTCCAAGAAGTGGACCTTATAAAACAGTTAAATGGACTGTATGCAGAGTTCAAAGAAGAATAACTCTTATTATACCAGTGTACGTTTGCACTACGCCTTCAAAGTTTGGGAGTTATCTTTCTTTTTACTTTGCATATATTGCTTCAAACAGTCCAGTTCATGTGCTTTGGGATTTAGTTTGTATACATATAATGAACTTTTTTTTTTTACACTTCATATGATATTATATGAGTTGAACCTATGTTTAATTTTATTGATCCGAAGTATGTTTTCTACCAAGTTTAGCGATATTGTTGTGCATTGCATGGATTTACTTTAATGCACTGTATTTTCAACGTGGGGATGTAGCTCAGTGGTAGAGCGCTCGCTTTGCATGTGAGAGGCCCCGGGTTCGATCCCCGGCATCTCCAGAACTTTTTTTTTTTTTTTTTTTTTTAAATTGTTTTTACTGTGAAAAAGCCAGTTGCATTCCATTACTTACAAATGTATCCAAGTAATTTTGAAAACTTATCGAAAAAAAAATTATTTTAAAATCATAAATTAAATATCACGTATATGCTGTTTTATGTACAAGAAATTTTTTTAAGTGCAAATTGCAGCGATTTTCATTGTTTATTATTATCATATATTTAGATATACATAGAAAAACACACAATACACAAAATACACCGTCCTGAAACCGAGCCCCTATGATATAGGCGCCAAATTTTTGTGTATATCGTATCCTGTATATCCTTATAATATTAAGTACATTTATCCACATGCAAGTATGTGGTGAAAGTAATTAATCTTTGTTACATTCTGTGCTATTGTACAGTGTATAAGGTAGAAAATGGTCACTGTGTTGGAAACTTTAAACATATGAAGCGAACGAGATGTGCACGTCTAATAAAACAACAATATAGGCTAAATCTAATTAAAGAAAAACATGCAGTCCACTGGGGAAAAAAAACTTTTTTGCAGGACATTTACTTCCTTGATAGTATTTTAAGTACAGCAACTAAGGAATTTTCTATTGCTGTTGTACAGGTCACCGTAACAAAAATGGATTTGCTTGATTTATGCCAGAGATGACCTTGAAATGTTCTTCATTATTGTGTTTTATGGAGTTAAATTAATCAGAACAAATAACGTAATTGAATAGCACTATTATACCCTTTCTGTCGACATTTATACATATAATCTTTTAAAGATATATAAAATAACAGTGTAATGTTTTTTCCCTTTTCTCGAGCCTGGAGTCTTGAATAAGCAGTTTTTCTTTTCCGTTTGATCGTGGTAAATTTAACCAGCTTCGTTTCCCCCAGCAGGACAAAGCATTATGAAAATAACTCCAATTCTGTACTACATAACATGAATTCAATTCTCACAATCAATATAATCTAGTTATCCTAAATCCGATAGTCAAATTGCTTGAAAATAGATGAAAGGTTCCAATATTTAACTTGTTTTGTAAAGTTGTTAATCTCATTGAAAAGCCAGTCTTTATATTGGTAATCCCCTTTAAAGGTTTGCGATTTATAGAAAATTTGAAATGACCTTAAGTACTTTTTTTGATTGTTTGACAAACATTCCTTCTAATTTAAAATATGACATCTTCAAACTTGCATTTTTTACTCTGTGTGCAGTTTTATAAATCAATGCACGTGTATTTTTGCCTGAGTTCATTACATATGTACACACATAATGCAGACTTGCATTTTTTTTTCATTTTATCGGCATTTCCAGTACATGACTAGATCATTATTTGAAAATATTGATCCAATTCTTGCAGTGTGGCACTATTTTTGCACTTTAACAGTGAATCAAAATCACTTTACGTAAAAAATAAAAATAACAGATTAGTGTCAAACTATAGCTAAATCAGAGCAAAGCCCCCCTTATACAACATTTCCTGTTTTTCTGTGACCTTCCAATGTAGGTATGGGTTTAAAACAGACCTACCGACAGTCTGAAATCATTTGTTACATCTAGGTATATTAATATTTTAATTCTTTCCTGATGACTATGTGATACCCTAGAAATGTCCTGAATATTTAACAGAAATTTTATTTGAAAGATTAGAAAGTAGGATAAGTTCCCGCGGGATCCAGAAGAAATGAAAGAAGTCAAAATAGAGGTGAATATTTTTTTTTTACCTAGGAAAACGAATTGCTTGTAGATATTATCTACTTGTATTGATTACAGAACTCGTAGCATCTTAGGGTACATGCGTCATTTGCAGAAACATGCAGGCCTAGCATTTATCCATGGAAACGTATATGATTTCCATGGAAACCAGAATGATTTTTCTATTTCAAGTGAAAAAATATTAAGGTTAGGCGAAGAATTCGGTTAATGAATTCTGTGGACAGCATTATTACAGATCCAGAAACTGACAGATTTCTACATAACAACGTCTGGTAGAGATGACATTATGACATGATAATGAAGAAAAAAAAATGAAGCCTAAAAGAAAAAAAATTATTTTGAATTGTGTGTGTATGAATCAAAACACAAATCCCCTTGATTACATTCCAACACATCAACAAAAAGTTGACTATATAACGACTTAACACTTTTTACAGATAAATACAACACCCATCAAAATAGAGTGTGAGCTATTCTACACAAATCGACCTAAACTATGAAATTTTAATACACTTTTTAAACATGTGGAAAAAAAGCGATCATTTATACTGAGTTGAATAATGTTGCAAAGTGTATGGTATATATCTAACCTACATGTATATAGGTATTTACATGTACATTCTAACACAGACGACAAAAAAAGACCAACATGGACAATTAAGAAAAAATATTTTTATAACGTGAAACGGGATTCGATTTAGCATCCCTAATAAAAATCAATTTCTGGTCACATAACCAAAGAACCAGCAGGTACAACTGCCCCACGGTTAGTGTCAATGTGCGCGTATTTGCACGACCGTTACGGGTAACGCGACCCAGTCTATTGTGACCCAATGTAAATCGCAGTCGAGTTATTTACAAAGTAGGGATTCAGTTTGTACGAATATAATTGGAAAATCGTTAACAGTGTCGTGGATTTTTTGCATCACATTGTTTTAAATGTTGGGAGGGAAAACATCATCAATGAAGTATAATGGATGGGCTTTAATTAATATGAAAAGAAAATGACTACTTCAATATTTTTTTTTTGGATCGTTTCTATAAATTTCTAAAAATGCACACTGTACTTCTTGTATATAGCTAGACAGATAAAGAAAAAATGATAACCCCCCCCCCCCCAAAAAAAAAAACCGATGTTAAGATATAAATATACATACTTGAAAAATTAACCCATTCAGAAAATCATATGATTCATGTTTTTGCGAAGTCAAAGTAAAAAAAAAAAAATGTCCATGATGATAGATTTTAAAGCTAAATGCTTTAAGACCATCTGAGAACAACTGAAGAAAGATTTTGAATTGAATTGACCTGCAATAGGAAAAGATGTCAGAAATACTGGGTATGTCTCTTCAAAAAGTAAGGTTTGTTCGATTAACCACTCGATAAATAAGTGTGCTCGAATATATAAACTGCGTGTCAAATTTTCTAAAATATAACCATACAGCTTATATAACAAATGTGCTGAAGTAAAGACTACCACCCCGTAGAATGTAACGGGTTAAACGTACACAAGAAACTTTTTTTAAACCAAAACTGTTAAGCAAACATTAACAATTTCTTAAGTTCTGAAAGCTCCGCTTAAAATAAAAGTTGTGTAAAAACAAGTACATTAAGAAGAACTGATATAAATTTGGCATC